GGAAAGAGCAGTGATTAGGCGAAAGCGGTAGCTCCTTTCCGACCGAGAGAGTTGGTTTATAGTAAGGTATCAGCTAAGAAGCTGTCATCATCTCTTACTATGCTGCACAGAATTTGAATTCGCCGAATAGATAGTAATTTAACTTTTTGCGAAATAAATTAGATAGAATATGTACATTTGAAATTTTTGTAAAGTTTATCCCCGCAAAATTGAGAATATATAATTATAAATTATTTCTAATTAGAAAATTATACCAAAAAGAGAGATTGAAAGAAAAATCACGCGACGCTCGGGGATACACTGAAACGAACGGAAGCGAATGAACGGATAAGTTTTTCTCACATTTCTAATTCGATTCACCCTCCGATTTATTGTACGCTGAAGGAGGGATTCGCGCGCGTGCGACGTGCGTTTGACTGCTCCGCAGAAAAACATAAATGATGCAACATCTTTTTCTAAGATCTTCTAAATTATTCATATATATATTTTTATATCTTTATATTTTATAATCATTCGTAATTATAATTTATTATAATTTTACGTATAATTTAATTAAAGTTAAACAATTATAATAATTGTATAATTAATACTAAGCAAATTGCCATTTTTCGTTATCGCTCACATTTAGCGAGATGAAGCGCGATAAAATGATGATCTAGTAGATATGGCCGGTCTGATATACGTGAAAACATTTATAAATATTTTGCGCACTACGTTTTTCAGTGGAGCAGCCGCGTTGTTCTTCCACGATGTTCCAAGCAAAGCTATTGGAAACGGTTAGCATCGTGTCGTACAATCGCGCGTGTTTCAAGTCGTGTACGTTTCTGTAAATTAACCCCTTCTCCGCTTCGATCGGGCACAGTGATATGATATATATTGAAAAAATAACTTATGTATGTCTCTCGTATTATTTGGAAACAGAGAAGCGCGAGGATCTAAAAGTTGCGTATTCTTTTCTAAAAAGAAATTCTATTGTACCGAAGGGGTTACGAAGGCCGATGCGTCTCGTGCTAGCAGCGTCTCGCGGTAATGTCAATCGTGAAACTATACGTAAACAACAATTGGGTAGCAATCGCAATCGATTGCTACATACGTAGGTTCAATGAATCAGATTCGATTGCTGTCCAACTGTTACTGCAGCCATTGTCTTCGTTGACATAGCGCGATCAATAATCTCTACACGAAGATAATCTACGACTATAGGCGGGTTTGAAAAGAGTTAAAGATTAAAATAGTGAAATTTCGATATATAGAAAGTCTTAATATAAAAGAAACAAATGCATTTATCGGTATTATATCTCAGTTAGTCTATGATTATTCTATCTGTAATAGGGTATAAGAAGTTGTGATTCTTCCTTAGAGGAAGGCTAAATCCGCTTGTGTGTCTACGAGACCCTTCACAGATATGAGTCTGAAAGAAATTATTAGCAACTGTCAAGTATCCGCGGGAATCTTGGCTTCCTTAACAAGGATAAATGCGAACGAGCGCTGCCGGCATCGATACGTTAAAATTCTTTGCGATCACGCGGACGCATTGCTCGCCATCGGATACGCGCGTTTCGTGAAGTGCCTAAAAACCGTCGAAAGAGAAAGTTACGGCTATTAAGACCCAACGACAAGGTCGCGCGCGAGTCTTCGGCACGTCGACGTGCATATGATGTACGACACACTCTAACACGATTTTATCGTCTCATTTTATTATTATTTTGTCTTTCTTTTCTAATGGGACAACGGATGGAGGCGTTTGTAAATAGTATAAATAATGCGAGATGCGTTTTAAGTGAAAAATGAAAAGAGGATATAATAAGTCTAATATTGAGAAAATATATATATATATAAATAAGATATATATTATATATATTATAAAGAAAAGTGTATATGTACACGTATACGTGTGCGTATATGTGTATAAGATTATTATTATTATTATTATTATTATATATACATATGTATGTATATATTTATCTTGATAAATAATATAAGACGGCGACGGGTTCGCGCGATCGATTCTTCCTCATCGTCGCGGCGATATTCGGACGAGATTCGTTTTTACTTGCGCGCATGACTACTGTTCGGTAGTATTTGTCGACATGATGGGGCTCTCTTGTTCTCCTGAGTTTTCCTGAAACTATTTTTCCCGACAGACATTTACAAACTCTTATATGATCAAAGATTTAAAAGCGTTATAGGGTATTCGCGATATTTTTCTCTCAACATGGATAACTCGCGTCAAGTTCGTAATTTATTTCAATATTGGGCTTATGTTATAGCTCAAAACTATATACGATTATTTGTATTATTCTACTTATTATATTGTCTGATTGAAATTTAATTATTTATTACGCGCGCGCATTAAGTTCTGGGCTATCATTACGAGCTCGTCCAATTTCGTCTCTTCTTCAACCTCCTTCCTTTACCATGAGAAAATCGTGAACGAAGAATAAAAATTCCGGGCGAAAGGAACGAGAAATCGTCGATGGGGAAGCAATCGGGCATGCCGATCCTTGCGCCGTCGTAAAAAATTAGGGCTGGAAGGATGCACGACGTTGTACATTGTAAATAGTAGCGCGAAGGATGACAGTTACAGAGAGAGACAGAGTTAATTAATTTAAAAGAGACGAGAAAGAAAAAAATATGGGATAAAAAAAGAAGCGGCCGCGAATCGAGGTGATATCGTCAGGCAAATGCACGGCACTTTCAGGTCATTCGGTTCGCATAGCGTTTTCCAGAAGCGTGATATCTGTCCGTCGTCGGTCTCGACGAAGGCTCGAGAGCGATCTCTCCAGCGCTGATTGTCCTTTAGTGTCGGCTTTTGCCCGGCTTTGCCAAGTTCGCGCTAACGAATCCGCGAACGCAATCGAGCAATCGGAGACCTCGCTGAAAATTATCGCGCGCTCTCGAATGAAAACTCTCTTCGAGTCATCGTCCGCCTTGTTATTCGACCCTGACGCCGTGCACTCGCAACGCGCGCGCCGGGTGCGCGCGTTTTAACGGAGCTCGCGGAGATTATTACTCTGAGAGATGCGTAATTATGTATCGTCGACGACCACGCGCCGATCACTCGGTCATACCGTACGTAAGGAGGAGCGTGGCGTTGCGAGGCCGCTGCGTTAAAAAAAAGAGGAAAGAAAAAATGATACAAATAATTGTTAACGAGCGCGTGACGAGTTTTGAGCGATGACACCGCGACGGTCATCCGCTGTTCGAACGAACAAGACGCGTGCGACTCGATCGGATCCACGTTTGTACTTGCGCACAAAAGCACGTGTGCTCCTCGATCATTTAGGAATTGAGAAAAATTAATCGGCAAATGTGGGAGAGAGAGAACGTGTTATATGTGGGAAATCGCAATTACTCTAGTCCTATATGCGGTCGACGAATAATACGGCACACGTGTGTTCGCGAGTGATCGGGCGTGTCGCCATTTCTTTTCGTTTCTCTTTGTTCTAAAAAATCGTGGAGTTGTGTATCGCGTACTGTTCTACCAAAACATATTAGCAACAACAGCAGCAGCAGCAGCAGAACTGACAGTCAAAATGGAGAATCGTTTAACTGGATATTGAATGACAAAAGTTGAATAAAAAGAAACTGCAGCGCACGTGCGATATGAAAAACGACAAGAACTATCAAAAACAATAAAGAGTATTATTCTATATATAACAATGACTTTCATTGCACCTAATCTTTATCTTTCAATTCCCAATTAGCAGCTTAGACAATTATTATTATCTCATAAGTTTATCCCTCAAAATAAGTGATTATTATAATATCGATACATCGCAAAGAATCATACATGGAAATTAATTTTATACGTTATATATCCGCTGTTTTATATCACATTAGTATAGTAATACAGGAAACCTAGTAACGTATATACGAATGATATAAATATTCAAATACTTACACATTTCAGCTAGACAAAGTACTAACCATACACTAAAGACATTGATTTACAAGATCTTCATTCTTTCTTGAAAAACATTGTGGATAAAAATATCGACGAAACTCATTAGTAAACTATAATTTCTTGCGAAAATTTCAGAGTCAGACTCTATCAAATATAATGATTTTTTTCTCGAAACGTGGACAAGGACGTGCAGCCTCCTCGGATAATCTCTGGAAAAATATATTTGACATAATATACATATGTTTTTCTTATCTCAGTTATAGAGAAGATAATTGTGTAATAAAATAAATTACATGATTTATAATATTTGGATGAATATATAGTTGCACTTATGCAAATTAATTATATCCATGCATATATGTCTTGATTGTGCTACTGTGAAATATTATAATCCGATTGCAATCTTTGAATAACAATTTCGAAAATTTCTACATTATCGAATTGTAGATAGAAATTATGCAGATCAAGAAAAGTGAAGAATTTTAATTTTATTTTTGTGTTATACTTACAATACGTTGAAAAATATATATATATGCATGTAAACACTCCATAGATGATACTTTCGAGGCGTAGATTCTCCTCATTTTAAGATATTGGCAATAGCTTTTCAATTCATATGCCGATAAAACCAGCACTATTAGTCAAAAATATTATTTTATATTAGAAAATTGAAATTATTCAATTTCTCTTTCTCTGTCCGAAGAGGCAATTGTACGGGCATAAGCTCGAGAAACGTATGACGGCGAATTGACATTGTTTGAAATCACCGAAATATCTTGTTTATGCACTGCGATATGCTTTAATATATCTTTTTTCCGTTTAAAGATCTCGTTGCATTGGCTACATTGCATTAATTTGCCATTGTGCGTCTTGGCGTGCTTCAACATATCATTCTTTTGCGAAAAGCTTTTACCACAAGTCTCGCAAGGATACGGTTTAACGCCCGTGTGAATCCTCTCGTGGACAATTAGCGCACCTTTGCGCGTAAAACCTTTGTTACAATAATGGCACTTGTGCGGCTTGAGACCTGTGTGGATCTTCATATGTTGGCTGAGATTACTGGAACATCTATATCGCATATTGCACACCTTGCAGACATACGGACGTTCTCCTGTGTGTATCCTTTCGTGGATCAGTCGCGCCTCTTTCGAAACAAACGAATTTCCGCAATAGTGACACATGTGCGGTCTCTCTCTCAGATGCATCGATTTCTTGTGATACATCAACGAGCTTTTACTCGCTAATTTTTTACCGCATTCGTCGCACCTGTATAATTTATCGTTTCCGTGTACCCGTTCGTGATTGATCAAAACAGTGCGCTTTGGGAATACCTTGTTGCAAATATTACACCGCCATATCTCCTTGTCATTACATTTCTTTTTGATGCTATCTACTATTTCTTCCTCGGTATGTTTTTTCCTATGTATCTTTAATTCGCTCATAGACTGGCACTTGTAGGTGCAGACCTATAAATCAGTTAATCTCTCTTGTCATATTGTTTTCAATTAGTTTTCAATGAGAATATACGGCTAATACCAGTATATACAAAGATAAGAAATTTGAAAAAATCACACATAATTTTAACAAGCTACTAATGTACTTACACTACATGTATAAACTCCAATCGCATTATGTCGTTTCATATGCGTATTCATGTTTCCTCTGCGATTAAATGTCGCATCACAAATAGGACATACATGCTTATTGGATCCATGCGATAATTTGTGTTGGCGTAATTGAATTCTTTTGTAGAAGGCTTTCCCACACTGTTCACAAGAATAGGGCCTGTTGTCATCATGTTGATTCATATGTTCTCGCAAATGAAATCTGTAAAAACACGAAATAAGATAAGAAATACAATTTATATAGAAACTAAGTTTGTAAAGTTAAACAAAATAATTTTGAGAATAACTTCCTGCAATTATTACCGTGATCTGAATGCTTTACCACAGGCCTCACATATGTGTCTTTTCTTTATAGATTCATCCAAATGAATTCTTTTATGACCTCTCAAATTATTAGAATGCTTAAAACTTTTTCCACATAGATCGCAAAGATATGGCTTATCTATTCTGTGAGTAGCTTCATGAATGTCTAAGCTAGACCATTTTTCGTACATCTTATCGCATGTAGAGCACTGAAATAATAATCGCCCCTCATGCGATTCCATGATATGATTTAACAAGTCTTTTCTATTATGATAAACTTCTTTACAATGACCACACCTTTTATTCATTTCAGTGATAAGATTTTCATGAAGATATTTGTGATTGTCATAATCCTGCTGACATTTAAATGCTTGATTGCAAACAGTACAATAAATTGACTCATATATTTTAGCTTTATCAGTAATTTGTTTGTTTTCATATTCTTTATTGAATGTTTGAGAATTTTTTACTTTAAAGCTAACCTGCTCATTCCTATACTTTTCATTTTCTGCAGTTCTAGGTATAGTTATATGTTTAGGAATATCCTCTTTTTTACTACAAAATATTTTATGATTCTCAAATATTTCCTGTGTATCGCACAAAGTTTGGCACTGCAAGCAAAAAATGCTATGATTTTCATCTTGGATTTTATCTTGTTGAATTTGTGATATTTCTTCCACGATAGTCTTATTAGCCTTGCTGTTAACTTCTGTACAAGTTTGGATTAGAGTATTTAATTCTGATGGCACAATGTTCTTTGCAATGCTATGAAAGTTATGATTCTGTATTTCAGAACGTACACCATTTTCTAATTCTCTCAAACTTGTTTCTGAAGGATTTACTATCTTATTTGTAATAAATGAATAAGTATGCGTACTCTCGTCTGTACACATCTCTTGAGCCATCTCTAATGAACATTCCTCAATTAATGTATTGTACTTATTTTCATATTCTGACTGCAAAATATCACATTTATAGATTATACAATAAATTAATATTAATAAATTAATAAATATTTTAAAAACATTTTTTTCATATATAAGCAAAAACTCTAATAATGTTTATAATTGCTAAGAATTAATGTTTTTTCTTACCTGTCTTTCAATATTTAGGAATCTTTTCATCCGCAAATCAGTACGTAAACATGAAACAACTAAAGAGTGTGCAATTTCCAATTTGTTGTAACAATCAATGCACATTTTGTGTGGCATTGAGTCTTCTATATCAATTGAAATAGGCATATGCAAATTTATTTTTTCTCTTAATTTAAACTCTATACCCTTGGCTGCAAAGATATCTATCCCATCTAAAGCGGATTCACCACAGATTCGGCATAAATTGGTAAATCTGATAGTGATATCATGATATTCATCTGTCTCGACATTCATATTGCAATATGTCAGAGGCATATTGTCATCTACCTCTTGGAGATGCTGTGATTTATCAAATATATTTATTGAATCCTCATTATCGGTACTTGTGTTGGTCCTAAATAAGGCAGGAATAGTACCTTCTTTTTTTTCTATGGTAATAGGCACAGTTTTGCTTATGTAACAGCGATCTTCAATATGATGGGAACAAATGTAATAATTTAAATGTAATTCTGCATTCGATTTTGTGGCTAAATCCGATCGACCGCAACATTCCGCCCATACTTTGGCTCTATAAAAATTATTTTAAAATTTTCAATAGTCAACTTATAAGTATTGACAGTGGTAATGGTATGGTAATTATAGATAATCGTCGATAATATGAAAATAACGATAAATTAATTTCCTAACTACTGAAGTACCGTTTATCCTATGTGAACATTAAGAATTAAGATACGTTAACCTATCTTATCAACGACTTACGTGTCATCATTAGGAAAATTAATGAAAATAACATTTGACGAATCTTCATTTTCCGAGGAATATTTACAATTTAATGCAGCGCAAACGATTCTCATATTGAATAATTATTGTTAATTGTACAGATGTAAGAGATCAAGATTTATTATTAAAACTTTGTTTCCCGTGGATATGTTTTCATGCTTGAACCGCGGAGAAACAAGAAAAGAGAAGTTGCTCCCGATAGGTTACAGTAAATGCGATTGTTACGCCAATATATTCACGTTTTTCGAATCATTTTCAATTCATTCATTCTCATTAGCGCGCCTTACTTTGAAAAATTATACATTTCAGATTATAATTTTTTATATAAATCTTATGCTAGTTAATCTTAATGACTAAGAAGATGATAACACAAAATCATCAATTGCCTGGAAATGTAATTAATTTCGTAATGCATTTCACAAATCATTAATATAGTTAATATAATAGATTTTAATATAGTAAATATTAGAGTTAATGTTAAGAATTTATATTAGTTAAAATATTACAAAGTACACACCACTCTTATTTCTTTACGCTATATATTATTTAATAAACTGCAAACTAAAATTTAAAAAAAAGAGATGTCTTCTCGGAAAATAAAAATTTGGCGTAAAATGATAACATTAAATCAATTTACATAAAACAATAGTGTTTCTTTGATCAAACTAAGAAAAAATATATTTTTTAAATAAACTAGTAGACTTTATATGTGATGTTGACACCAATCATCGAAATTGAAATTTGAAATGCAAGAAGATACAGAAAAAATATTTGTCTAAATTTATATTACAAAAATATTTCTCAGCATAATATTGTTAAGACACGCCATCGTATCTAAGTGAGTTCGAATCACTTTGAAATCCGAATATGTTCCGAGACAAGAGTCGGAGCGAACATTGTTCGCATCAAATATAAAATATTAAATGACGTTTTGAATATAGCTACTTGATTATAGCTAATATAAAAAGATGATAGAGAGAAAGAGAGAGAGAGAGAGAGAGAGAGTTAACAGTCATACATTTAATTAAGAAATACTTAACATATATTTTTTTCTTTTAATAAAGCCAAACGATCTTGTCACATTCGGATCAATCTAATGTATGAAAGATTTCTGGATTTTCAATATCCAAGAAAAGGCATTTAAAGATATCATTATAGAAATCCGGATAATATTCGCACGCTCGTTGACAATCGGGCGTAAAATTTATTTCCAACAACTTGGGCTGCATTTCGGAGTCCTTCCATTCCAGCATCAAGTCAGCGGCATACACGGCTCTGCTTTGCGGACTTTCAGCGATTCCTTTTGGCGGCGGTTGCGCTATTGCGGCTTCGAAAACCTGTCGTAAAACGAAAAGAATCTTTGGTTCAACATAGGTTTTCCATGGATAGTCGGGATACTGATTTTCCCATTCCACGATGAAATCGGCGCATTTTAAGTGAAAGAGCGCATCTTCCTCGGTATAATTCATGACGGTGAAATGTTGCCCGTATACATCAAAATTGTTCAACGCGAACGGTAGATTTGCGAAACGCAGGAAAAAGTTCGCGTAAGCGTACGCTCGCAATGGTTTTACTGATTTGAACAATACAACATATCTTATGTCGAATTTCACTTGGTTGATATCCGGCCTGTTATATAAAACTGGTCGCGCGATATATTTCTGCGCGATTTTAGGCCCTGTGCAAGGTAATCTGAGAATGTGATAGAGATTGTTCGTAATATGAGTGTCCAAGCCTCTGGCCAGATTCCACGGTTTGCAAATCCAATGATTATCCAAATCCTTATCTGCTCGTTGTGTAAAGTAAGCAACAAACTGCACCAATTCCGTGCTCAAGTTATATGTTGTCGGTAACCATGCTGGATAAGTTTCGAGAGTATCTGGATCATATAATTTATCTATCGCTTTTCTTCTACATACAATCGACAAGAGATCCTTTATTGTCAAAATATTTTCATATGGAAATTGGTTTATAAAAACGTGAGGCGAAGAAAGGCTCAATTCTTTATATGTTTTGTAGTGAGACATAAGCCACAATATGTCTGCTTCTTCTTCATTATCAGTAATTTCAAATGCTGGATCCGTCAAATAATTAATAATATTATCATAATGTGAAAAAACCTTTAATTTTTTACTAGTATCTGCCTTTAGTTCATCCGTTATTTCTGGCAAGCTTTCATGAACATGACCTGTTGAAAAGTAATCTACATCTGGCTCAACCTGTTCAAAATTTTCATCCTCAAAGGTGCTGTCAACCCAAGGCAATAATAATGCACGTCTCTTTTGAAGATCTTTTGTCTGACCTTCTACAAAATCTCTTGTAACTTCATCACCTGCATCAACATCTTTTATAGGAAACAGAAGTGTATAAATTACACCTTCTGGCATGTGCAGAAAAGGCACTGCTCTAAAATTTGGTTCATTGCTATGATTTATCGCTGATCCAACTTCATCCATAACATACCATATTGGCATTCTGTCCTCTATTGCTCCATAATTTACTGAATATGACTGATTGTATCGCCACATTTCATTCATAACATTTTCAATTTTTTCCTGTTCTTCGGCTTCAATATCTAGGCCCATCAATAAGCACATACGATCAAGCAGATTGGGTACTTGGATTAAATTTTGTCGAGCATTACCAATATCATAGGTCCATGCATGATCAATCAAATAAATGTTATTTGGATCTTGAACACAAATGCCACTTTCCGCAGATACGATTAGTTTCCAAATTGGCTCTGTATCGTGTCTTTCTTCATTCTCATATTCCACCTTTGCCAATTGGAAGACAAGACCACCATCAAAAATTTGATTCTTTAGCTTCTTGTACAGACTTTCCCAGAATAATTGTGGAACACCATAAGATTGAAGCTGTGGCTTGTGTGTTTGAAGAAATATATTAAATAAATTTGTACCATCCATTATATAAAATTAGATAAGTCCTAGAAAGAGAGCAAACAAATATTTAACAATAATTTATTCAATGTAAGAATAACAAAGTTAGCATATATTATTGAAAAACGATCGACACTTACATATAATATAGTTAGAAGAAATTTTCTAAAGTTGATGCACATGTGATAATCAATTTATTGATAGAAAATCAATTTGAATAGTTAGCAATATCATACAAAAAAAAACATTTAAAATAAATTGTATCCACTTAGATTTCACTGAGAGAACAATTTCTCAACGCATCTTGCATTATGTTAAATAAGAATAAAGCAAAATTCTTGTGCTTTCCAATAAATACATCCGTCTAAAATCAAATCGTAACAGATTAACATAAGTCTGGTTTACGACTTGATTGATTTAGCTAGCACAAAAGCACATATATACTTTTATCTAGGGTAACCAGCATGGTTGACCAATCAGATTCTGGGTCTAGCCGAGATGTATCTAAACGATGCACGTCGTACCTAGATATTCGTACATCCATGACTGTTAATCCAAGCAATACGTCAGACGTCAGACGTCAGCAGTAGATATCTGTGACCGTATGGTAGCATATCCTCGTACGCAATGTGCTATCAGTGTTACGTCAATTGATATATTGAAACATTGAAGCATATATTGAAATAAATAAATTATGGAATCCAATTATTTTCAAAATATCGTGAATGTAGAATACAATCGGAAATGTGATAAAAGAATTGACTATGGAACAGCTGGCTTTAGAACAAAGTAAGATAAATTCATTTATTTCTCTCATTGACACCTGTTGATTCTTTTAGCTGAAAATATTACATAAAAATAATTTTTTGGCGGCATAATATATAGTGATATATATTAATCTTATTTAAAATATGATCCTAAAATGTGTATATTAATTTTAGGTCGGATATTCTGGAACATGTTTTATATAGAATGGGTCTTTTAGCAGTTTTAAGATCAAAAGCAAAAAGAGGTGAGAACATATAAAATTAAAGTTTGAAATATTTTTGAATTTATATTTTCTTCAATGATTAAACTTTTTACAGCTGCCATAGGTTTAATGATTACAGCAAGTCATAACTTGGAACCTGATAATGGTATCAAGCTCATTGATCCTGCTGGTGAGATGCTTGAAGCTTCTTGGGAAACTATAGCGACAAATTTAGCTAATATACAAGATAGTGATTTGATATCAACATTAATACATATATCTACAAAAGAAAATATAGACTTATCAGCACCAGCCATGGTGATAACAGGAAGAGATACTCGTAAAAGCAGTCCTATCTTATTAAATGCTGCAAGAGCAGGGATCAGAGCTTTGAATGGTAATATTACAGATTTAGGATTAGTCACAACTCCACAACTACATTATGTCGTAGTATGCACAAACACTAATGGTGCTTATGGCAATCCCACACTACAAGGATATTATTCAAAACTCGCAACAGTATTCAAAAGCATAAGAGGTACTAAGAAAAATAATAAAAAATATGAAAGTATATTACAACTAGATGCTGCAAATGGTGTCGGTGCTATTGCAGTAAAAGAATTTCAAAGGTATTTAGAGAGTGCGCTGGATATTAATCTATTTAATGATGGAAGTGGAGGGTTGAACCACATGTGCGGCGCAGATTATGTCAAAGTACAACAAACTATGCCTTTAAATGTCCCTTCTAAAACAAATGTCAGATGCGTCAGTATAGATGGGGATGCCGATAGAGTGGTGTATTTTTATGTAGACGAAAATAACAAATTTCATCTTTTGGATGGAGATCGAATAGCGACGCTAGTGGCAGCTTATTTCAAGAAACTATTAATGACTAGCGGTTTATCTTTACAATTGGGCTTAGTGCAAACCGCATATGCCAACGGTGGTTCAACCGATTACATTTCGAAAGTATTAGAAGTACCAGTTGCGTGCGTGCCAACCGGCGTAAAGCATTTACACAAGAAAGCACTGGAATTCGATATTGGAGTCTATTTCGAAGCAAATGGGCACGGAACCGTAATCTTCAAAGATACTGCTAAAGAAATTATTAAGAATCATGCTAAGAACGAAAGACTGTCGGAAATACAAAAAGCGGCTACTACAAAGCTGAAAGACGTAATTGATTTGATAAATGAAACGGTCGGCGATGCGTTAAGCGATATGTTGTTAGTCGAGACTATATTACATTCCAAAGGCTGGGACATTGTCGATTGGGAAAGGAGTTACAATGATTTACCGAATAAGCAACTTAAAGTCAGTGTGAGAGACAGAAATATTATAACAACAACAAACGCGGAAAGACATTGCTTGACGCCCGTCGGTTTGCAAGAAGAGATTGATAAAACAGTCTCCAAATATTCAAGAGGTCGATCTTTCGTTAGGTATAATGCAATAACTTTTTTATTATACAAAGCTTTATTTAGAAATCTGTAAATCGCCTATTACTCGTTCAAAAATTTATTTAAAAAAAAATCATTACAATCGAAAAAACTAGTTGTACTGAAGTGTTATAACTAATGTTCTGATCATGACTTTTGTTTCAGGCCTTCTGGAACTGAAGACATCGTGCGAGTTTATGCAGAATGTGAAAACTCATCAGATGTTGGCAAATTAGCTACAGAAGTAGTCTCACTCGTGTACAAATTAGCAGGTGGTGTTGGACCTGAACCCAGCCTATCGTGATTAAATTCAGAATTATCATATAGTTACATCCATTATATAAAAGCCATAATTTGTTTGAAATATTCTGCTGGATTCTAAGTTTGCGTATTTAAACTTGGCGCATAGAATATTGTAAAACGATATTTAAACAAATTTCAATACAGATATACTAAAGAAGTAACTGATCACTTAATCATTGAAAAACTTTTCACATTACTTTACTGTATTATAATTTGTGATCAGAATATGTATTTTATTAAATGGATTATGCTGCAATAGGAGAGGACAAGTTTCTAATTGACATTTTTCACTTGTCTGTTTTAGGGTCTAATTTTACGCAAAATAATATATATACTCTAATATACTATAGTTATATATATAATTCGTGTCTATTTAGGTATTTTTGCATTTTAATAAAAATTATACAATTTTAACCACGTTAATTTTTCTTTGTCTTATACTCCACAACGAAAATATTATGTCACTAATATAATATAATCAAATTCTTGTCAGCAAGAATATTTTGATTTAACAAGCTAATATGATGCGCACATGCTTAAGAAATATTAAAGTTTTTATCATATTTAAGAACTTTTGGGATTAGAACAAAGAAAAGCATATTGCCAAAAAGTTTTATCTCTTAAAAAATAATCTCACATTAAATGTGAATTTATCAATAGCAGTTATTGTAACAATGCTTTATACAGTATATGAAAAGAATATAATTGATAGTAATTCCGTATTTCATTGCTGTATGTGTGTATACTTTCTTACTTCTCGTTACATAAGTGGCCAGGCTTTATTATCCATCTTCTTCACACATAAATCTCCTTCCTTGGACATGTAAACGAGTTCACTGAATGCTTCTGTTATTAGAAGTTCCTATTGAGTTCATCTCAATGTCCATTGGTCTCTCCTCATCCCGTTTGTAATCTATTAAAAAAATTATTATGTAGAATGTACATGAGATATCCCACTAATGGTGGGCTTAATGTAACATATTTAAACTAGCTTATCACTTATCCCTATAAACGCCAGTTAATAAGGAGTCAATAATTCGTAGAAATTATGTTTTAATTATTGATATAACTGTCGTATGTTACTTTACTTTAAAAATTAATATTTTAGAACTTATAAAACGGATCTTAAATATAATGTCAAATAAAAATTAGTATTTTATATTGACAAATATATCGTAAAATGAGAAAGTGCACTTGTTAAAAATATAAATTCTGGTGAGAGATGTAATGCATATCAATTGAACAGTTAATAGGAGCATTGTACAGGTCGACAATATTTCAGAAAACTATTTTTCTGTGACATTCTATCAACATTAAAATATGAGCTGTTCCAAAGACGTAACAGCGTATCTTACAATGGCGCTTAGTTTCATCGCGAAAGGATGTGTTAAGCGGAATTTTTAAGAATTTATTCTATGGAAAGTTTCGGTGGCGGTAGGATATTAAGACGAACGATTCGCAAATTGCGGCGATAATATTAGCGAAAAAAACACTATGCATTTTGTTTCCAATTCACGCATCGCATTCATTTACCTTTTGCGTTCTAATTCCATCTCCTAAAATACTTATAAATGCATCAATATAGAAAATGTAATAAAATTGAACATATTGCACAAGATGCAATTTTTATTTTATGTATAAAGTTAATCTATTTCACATCTACTAAAGATTAAAAAGATTGAAACGTTTAGATTTTTTAAATCTTTTCTTAGTGCGCGCGTATCAGAACAATTTAATATAATTTAACATTATGTAAAACAGGATCAATTGTTTAAATCAATATAAAGTGATACTGATTTTGTAAAATAGTTTCAGAGAATTTGTAAAATTGTAAAAATATATGTATATATGTTACAAGAATATCATTTGTGAAAGAGCAATATAAAAAAATAAGTAAAAAAAATCTAAGGACATACATCGGAAAATTCATTATATTAGGTGATTAAATCCCGATAAGATTAAATAGAAGAAAATAAAAGTGTAAAACATTTAGGCAAATAATTCAGACAAGTAGCTTGATAACTCTTAATGAGACTGGATAAATATCTCGATATATGTATCTACAATCAGAAATTAATGAGTTTTAATGAGAATTATTTTGTGAGTCTATGTGGCAGAGACGGAATTAGAATCGATGCATTTTTATCGCAATGCATAACATTGAGATTACAAAAAAGCGGCCGCTTTCTTTATACGCGTTTCGGTAATCGACGTACTTGTTTCTTTTCTCGTTTAACAGTTTGACGTTTTTGTTCGACCGGACATTCTCCATTCGCACTTATAGAACATTGATATAGTAGGCCCGAGGGCGCTTAGGTTTTCTCAACAGATAAAGTATTATAATGGTCGCACGCGTTGAACATACCTTCTTCTTGGTCAAATTCAAAGCACGCCAGCTTTGAGCGCAAACGCAATTTGTGGCGCATTATCCATATATCGCAGGTTGGTTTATTCGCCGATCGGGTCGCATCTACGGGTAGCCACGCATAGCGAGTAATCGTCGTAATCGGTTTCTTCAATAATCGCAGGTCAACAAGCCGCCCCAAGGTAACGTACGGCAACGCGTTCACCGCACGCGTTCACAAATCAGCGTTTCAGTGCAGTACCTAACTAAGTAAACTGCACCAGCTGGAGATTGACGTTTTGCATTGTTATCGAGTTTTTTTTTTAGATCTTCCTATATCTATGACAGAGTTTGTCTCTTTTCAAAATTTTTTGTTTTGGAATATTATTAAATAGATTTTTATACTGTTTCATTATCATACATTATCATATACTGTATCGTTACATGATGCGTTTATATAATAATATATAACTTTCAACTTCACATATACTTTATATTAGATTATTATAAAATTAATTCTCCTAAAAATAATTTAAGATTACAATGCACAACATCGTCGAATTAAGAATTAACATTGAGTAACATAGTTGAACGCACGCTGATTATTACTAATTGATTTCTTCGCTTCTGCGAATAGTGCAAGTAGATATGTCAGATGAATAACTAGTATTCTATCTGATATCGCTGCTGTAACTTGATATCTCTCTCCAAACTAAATCAGCTTTTTAAATAATATTATGAGAATTAAATTCTTGACATTTATATGAATAATAAATATGCAACGACAAAGAAAAATAAAGGCAAAATGACAAATACTTTTTCTCATGAATTACAAATTGAAAATAGATGTTATTGATAAAATTATATTTTTTATACTTTAACAATCAATAACTAATTAAATTTAGTAACAGTTTTATTACGCACAAAACGACTGAAAGAAGAAATAAATTATATTATATTATTAAAGATTTTAAATAAAGATTACTTACATTCATTTGCACTTTATTTCTTTTATATAAAGATACATTAAATGTATGATAACTGTTATTATATATGTAAGTTTCTCTGCTCTTTATGAATGAACATTTAAAATATTATGTTTGAGTTCTTTTAAGTGTTAAAAAAAGATTGTACAGCAACATTATCAATAGTATAAGTCACCCTTTGTAGAGAATTAAAGCTATTGAATGTAGTAAAATTATCTACGCTACAATGTGGGCATTCAGAAAATTAAGTTAAGGGAAATATTCAACCCACGTTAAATAACATATTGGATTTTATTTATTCATAGAAAAAGACAATAAGAAAAAAAGATGATCTACATGAATAATATCCTGAAAATTCTTTTCAAACACACAATAAACTAACGTAAGAGATATATAAATTTTGTTATTAATTAATAATAAATTTTTCAATTTCGATCAAATTTATGTCATCCACTGATAAGTGGATTATCCTTACCATATCTTATGATAGAATTAAACATTATAAGTTATATATAAGTTTGTCATTATAATCATATGGACTCAATGTCGGACGCAGAGGGCAGAGTTCCTAGATAATCAAGTCCATAAGCGAATGATCGCTGCTTAAAAGGCGGTGATTTTTTTATGATTTTTTTTTTATACGGTTGCCTTTCGCATGCGCTAGCATGTTTGCTTTAGTATATTTTTAGTACCTCGGTGGCATCGCGTCTGCCGGACCTGGGAAGCTAAAAGGTCAGAAAATGAAAAATCGCAAAATTAATCACGTGATCGCCTTGCTGGGCAAGGAGAAAGTATAAGATGTAACACTGACATGCACGATCAGCGCGGAACGCATCCAGATGCGAATTCGAATGCATATCTGACGGTATGGGTTCTGATATGGTATTAAGGAAATATTGGGAGTTTTTTTTTCCACGTCGCAGCGCTATATAACGCACATTTGCTGAGAGATACAGCTACCAGATCTGGATAAGATATTTATTTCGTTGTACGTGTTATTTATTACTGAATTTGTACACTTATATGTGTATTGTTATATTAAATTTATTTAAATAATATTTTGTACAAGAAATTCAAAATCGAATCTTCACTCATAGATTGTCAAATATCAATTCTTTAAATATATGTAAATTATTAATATGTGCCAATTATTCGATATATTATTATACGATAAAATAACATTATATACAAAGATGTAAAGAGATTAATCATCGTTTTAATTAAGTATAGAAGAATATATATTTGTAAAGAGATTTTCGATTTAATCGCAGAATAAAGTAAAGCTCACATCCAGTTCTGATTAACTGCCATACATGTAAGAAGATAGTCAATCGGTACGCCGCAATCGGTCATCTCTCGGCACTGTCGCAAGTGCATTTGGAAACTGGATTTATTTCCGTAGAAAGCAGAAGAGTTTCAAGTCGTCAAAAGACTTTTGTCGGACGTTCGATCGTCGTTCATTATGAGCGCAACGCAACGCTTTGTTGTTTTTCGGAGAACAATTTGAATTGTAGGAAAAGTGTTTCAGATTATGGCAAAAGGCGAGGGAAATAAAATGCGAAGGATGTGCATTTGTAGTTTCGCAGACTGGAAGTTTTGCGGTGCGCAGTGTATATAGTGATGATCGGTTTATATTCGCGACGCGAGATAGAAAATTTGCGGAAAGATTTCGTCTTCCGAGATATTTCCGCGGATCGTAAGAATTTTCGCGGAACATATTACGCGCTATGAGAACACGCCACAGAAATCAGTCATCCGGAAAATATATTTTCGTATTTGTAAAAGAAATTTCCGCCATTTCTTCGATGGCATCTCGCCATTGCCGGAATTGCCGCAGGATGATCGCATGGCGCATCTTGGATGGACGTTGAGATCGAGAACTTTCATCGTGGAGTACGTAAAAGAAGAGAGGCGATGTATCACGTAAATATATGTAAAGTGAAATGTGTGGCAACAAGTCCCCAAATTGATAAATCACATGTTAAAAATACGTATGGTAAGAAATTAGTTAATTTGCAGGAAATTATATAAAATCTATCCACGAGAATCGATATTTTTCTCAAGTATATATTATTTTTCAAATAATTTCTTTTATCATTTCACGAGAGTTATCACAATATTTGGTTTAAATATTTTAATTAAAGCATATTATCATAATTAAAATAAGTTTAGAAAATTTTATACAAATACAAAGATTATAAATATGTACTATAGTGTGTGCATATTATTAATTATAAACAGCCATTAAAATTTATAGAACCTTCAGCAATGGTAATTTTCAGCCTCTGTTCTCTTTTACACTCATAAGATAAAAAACGTCGGCTCCTTGTACACGTGTACCGATGGATGCAATGATTTGTTTACGCAAAATAGCACGTACACGGTAAAGGTATACTTCCGTATATGTGTCCAAGTGTCGCGCTAAGTGTCACACCTTATACTTTTACAGAAATATTTAACCTGTGTCGATTCGCATAGAAATTGCATATGTGTTACACATAATCGAGATAAGAACGAGAGAGGCATATGTAACGCAAAGAAGAGTGGATACGCTTAGTTTGATAAGCATACGCATATAGAGTTCGCTTTCAACATCAACGTGTGTTTAGTGTGTTACTTTCATAGTCGCAGCTTTGATGAAACATATGAAAGAGATAACTTAATAAAGTGCAACTTACCGTCCGCCACCACGTGGAGGACCATATGCATCTGGTCTGTCATATCCCTCGGCATAACTGTAACATAATGGACAAAGTACATATTAGCCATATGTGGAAAATAAACATTTTTTTCCAACAATTCGCCGCAATTTGTTACTTACCCGCCAGCTACTGGTGGATATCCACCACTGGGTACGGCACTGCCAGGTCTTCTACTAAACATATCAGCTTGTGGTCCTGGACCAGTGCTGTAACTAGGTGCTCCAGTGCTGTAGCTAGGTCCAGTACTCATGGGCCTGTTAAATGGAGGTATATCATTACCAGAAGGACCATCCCTCCTTTCGTAGGCCATTGTAGATCCCTGACTTACCCCCCCAGGCCCACCCATCATATCCCCTGGCCCGCCCGGATAACCCCTGTTGTGCATAAGTTAATCTATTTTTACTCTACCCTAGACAACATTTAGAATATTACTACACTGCTACATAAGCATTGCTGCAATATGTCGCTTAATCGCTTTGGTTAGAATAAAAGTGAAGCCTAAGAATCGTAGTTTAAGAAAATTTGTCAAATCCGATGGCGAACTGTACAAATTTTTTTATAAACTGTCGTTTTTCCAATTGTAAATGTATTTGTACCCACATTTCTAGCAAACTTAATGTCTACACTGAAAAGCCGAATTTAATCAATTTTAATTAAGTTAAAAAAGAAAAAAAAAACCAGTGCTGACATTTACAAAGCATGTATATAATAAGAAAAAATCTTCAATTTAAATAAAAAAGTTTTCTTACACGTGTATAATAAAGCTGTTGTAATGAAAAAAAGTAAAATCATACAGTGCAATATAGACGATTCCAACAATTACGGATTAATGCAATTTTAACGAAAATGTGTATTTCCTAATAATAGAAAATGCCAATATACATATATAAATTGATAAATATTGGATAATCTACATTTCACTGCACTAAGTTACTTGTAAATTTAATTAAATTTAATTATATTTAAGTTATGAAGAAGATCGAGCTCATAAATTAAATTCAAGTCTCATATTTAGAAAATGTTTCATATCGCATGAATAAATTTGTAATTATGTTTAATTTCCAATTATATATTTAAGATTTAAATAAATGTTGTATATTTTATAATTGAAAAATAATATTGCATTAAAATAATATCTCAAACCAAAATGAGTTTTAAGCATTTATGATTCAATATTTTGTGAAATATATAAATCATGAGCTTCATAACATAGAAAGATGTATCAATATTTGTAAATATAACTATTTAACTATATTTACAGATCCACTTTGGCTTGAGAAACAACTCTCAATACAAGAATAAAAATTTAAGATTTAAAAAATCTCGAAAATTAAGAAAAAAGCAAAAATAAATTATAGAAATTACATTACCAGTGACTTTCATCATATCCCACATCTGTGTACCCAGTTCCATATCCAGTAGTGGCAACGGCGCCACCACCGTTTCTCATTGGTCCAGTCGCACTTCGGTCATAATCATTTCTAGCTGTATAATCGACCGTGCGACTGGCGCCAAAATTATCGGTACGACCATAATCTACTGGACCAGGTGCACCACGATTGAAATCTCCCGCCATACCACCACCAACTACTATAAACAATATAGGTGTTAAGATTTTGAATTAAATTGATATTTCGCGTTTGTTTCACTTGGAAAGTTTGTGCATCCCTTTGGCTTCATGTATCTCATGAGATTTTTATCGAGAAGAATTAAAGACTTAATAGATGAACATACATGATTAAATAAAGAATATAGAACATCAATTGAAAGATTATGTGGGTATTTATCCTTAAATCAATAATTTACGTTTTTGAAGTAGTTATTTTTTTGTAAGATGCAAATAATAGATCTAGGGTAGATGTTTTCATGATTCAAACATTTGAAAAGCATGATATTCTTGAAGAAACTTTGTATGTTCGTCTATATTTATAAGATCATTTAATATATTTGTAATAATAACATATATACTATAATAACAATATTAAAAGCCGAAAATTTATATTTTTTCTCGTCTTAATGTCATTTTTATGCAATTGATCCATACGAGATGTAGGCGAAGTGGTTTATATAACTATATAGGCGGATTCTCACATACTTTCGAAGTTGCACAAACATCACACACCACCGTGCTTACCATAGTCTGTTCTAGCACCGAAGTCAGCGCGACCGTAATCAGCCGTTCGTCCATAATCCGCCGCACCGGTCGGTCCGTATCCTCCCACGGCACCGGCAGCTGGTCCATATCCGCCACCCATTCCTGGCGCCGTCGAGGTGTAACCCATCGCCGCGCCACCCACGTTCTGACCATAAGTGCGATCAGCATAGCTAGCACCAAAGTCCGCCCCACGGCCGCTAAAGTCTCCAGCTCCACGATTGTAATCGGTGTACCCGGTTGCGACGCCACCTGCAGCAGATCCATCGTAACCACGGAAGAACTGCAAAGCACGCCGAGATATCGAATTGGTTTTTAAATGTACATTGTCAAAGTTATAGTCTCATTTCATTCCAACATACTATTTTCTCAATGCGCTCTGCAATATAGAATATTACATCATTCGCAGAAGTTCATAAATCGATTTAATGAAGCAAATCCTACTTTGACACTTATCGATATGGGGAAGATAGAAAAGAGGTAACAGACGGAAATAAATAAAAAATGTGACAATATGTAAATGTGACACACATATATACATAGGGCATATATACTTGAGGAAAATTAAATGAGAAAATAGTTTTGTCGGAATTTACAAATAACGATGTGCAAACTATACCAACCTCTTCTATCATTGTATGGTCCAGGACGAGCGTCTCTACCACCGTCTCGTCCTCCCCTACCACCTCTCATTGGTCCACCTCTTCGGTCATCTCGGCGTCCTCCTCCACCTCCACGTGACTTCCCGGTTGACTGTTCCACGTTGATCGTCGCTCCTTTGAAGTTGGAATTGTGAAGTGCCTTAATTGCTGCAGCTGCATCCTCTTCCCGTGCCATGTGGACGAAACCATATCGATTCATGACATCACATTCTGTCACTTCACCAAAGCGCAAGAATAATTGTCGCAATTCATCATTGCGACAATTTTCTGGCAACCGGCCCACAAATATTTTTGTTTTCCGCTGCAACACATGAAGAAATGATTATTCTCTTTTTTTTTCTCTCTCTTTATATTAAATATGATAATTAGATACATTAATAATATTGTGTTTTAGAACCTTTTTGGTTGATCTATAATTTGCAACAAAATTTTCAGAACAGAATTCTATTTATAATTCTGTATGTGTCACATGATTTAATGTATATATCCTAATATATATTATGATTTGTATGTATTTTATATGCTCAAAAGTTTTCTTTAATACATGAGACTTAAAATTTATACATAAGATTGTCTTGAATTTTGTCTTAAATTATAGATTGTCTCTAAAAAGACCTTAATATAAATAAAATATTACAATAAAAGTGCAATCTTGATATAAAAGTATAATTTAATAATAATTGTATCTCAAAATCGATCATACATTTATTGCAAAAGGTATGGTGTCTGTTTGAGATTTATTATTGCTCAGTTATCTTTCAACATTTTACAAAATATATGCAATTATAATAATGTAAAACTATACTGAGCATTGTATTATCAATATGACTAATAATTCAATATTATACTGTAAAATAAAAAAGATCTTCATTTTAATCTCTTTTAATTTTAATTTCTTTGTAACATATAGTAGTTAATTAATTAAAAGTATAAAAAATATTTGTATGATCTTACCGGCTGATTAGATGAAACCATCTTCTGAAAACATAATTCATCAAGATTACTATTTCATAAAAATAGGTATTAAATAATTTCTGCATTTTAATTTCTATCATTTCAACTATCTTTTATACTGAATAGGTTTTTCATGACTTGCAATAATGAACTTTGGAATAACTTAGCTAATTTGGAACTTGAGAATGAAAGAATTATCCAATGTAAAAATTTTTTATTATATAAGATGAATATTTTTTGTAATCTCAGTATTATGTTTGTTATAAATTAAGCTGCCTGCTATATTTTTATACTACATAACAATAGGTGTTTTGCCAATATTAATATAGCATTGTCCATGTAAAAGTAAGTATTTCCAAAGGACATCACTAATAGCGTTTTCGAGTGAAGCAAGTTTGATCTCTCTGAGAGCGATTAAACCCAATTTGCCATGAATAAATGTTCGACCAAAAATGGGTTTTGAATCTGATTAATAAAAAATAATATATTAATAATATAAATAATATGAAATATATCCCGTATGACGTTATTTTGGCTTTAAAGCACAAGATTCTTTGATTAATTCCTGATTAATCAATCGAACTTATTCGAAATATTTCATTAATTAATCTAAAATAATCCAAATACCCTAGTAACCCAAGACGGAGTTTATGACGCCATTGATCGCTCTTAGAGCAATCTAACTTGCTTTACTCGAAAACGCTATAAAAATATTCACATTATCTTTCAATTTTAAGCGCAAGAGATTATTATTGAACTAGGGAAGAGAGAGGGTTAGGCAATAATAACAAATAATAGGAGATGCGCAGATAAAAGCTTTTTCAAGGTTGCATCGATCCAATCTCGATTTTATCATTAAAGGCCGGAAAATTGCGGCCATCATCGATCAGCGGTCATGATTCATCTTTATCGATAGAAGACCGGCGGCCGTATCATATATTATACAATATCAGATCGCGATGTACACGTGACACAAAGTATCCCGTCTAAGAAAACGCGATCGGTCCCGCTGATGGGCCATCCCAAACATTTGTCGCGATCGACAGTATTACTTACGTGTAACTGCGCCGTTTTGGCGAAATAAATCGAAAACAAAGGAGAGGGAAAAGAAGTAACGATTCTTGCAACGAGGAAAAGAGAGATGCGAAATGGCGGTCAAAGTCGAGTCCGCTCGGTATATTCTCGTATGAGAGAGAACGCGAAATAAATGGACGGCCAATGGAAGTACTGCCAACCGTTGTCTGTGAAAAAGTTACCGATCCCGGTTGCCCGCGTCATGTTGTGTGACCTCGATCGTCCAATTTATTGATCCCCCCCCTCGAGGCTTTCACGCGAACGACGCGATGTAATCGTATACATATTAGTTTATCCAGAAGAAAGAGATTGAGAGAGAGAGAGAGAGAGAGAGAGAGAGAGGGAAAGTTTACAGAAATGTAATTAGTTTCGATTGTCGACGCGACGAAATCAATTTTATCCCTTGAAAGAAAGATGGAACGAGGGATGGAAGGGGAAGAGAAAGAGAATTTACAGAAATGATATTACCGTTCCAGCCGTGGACGTCTCCGAAGTAGCGTGGTAACTGACAGACGTATCCATCGATAATGCGGAAAAAAGACAGAAAGGAACTGAAATGAATAGATCAATGTGCAGAAGCTATTATATCGTATACACGCGATCGTTGTATCTCAGCTCACACTCTGAGTGGCACAGTACGACGCTTCCCGTAACTTACGTTAAAAAAAAATGGCTCGCACGTCGCCGCTGCTGTGTCTCGTTCGTTGTGCGGGAACAGTGCGGCCAACCTTGCCGCGCGTCTTGATCCCGCTTATTTCTTTCTTCTCCCCTTCCACGTGTCTTCTTCGTACCGCGCGAGAGGGCGGCACCAGTCTCGACGAAATGTCTCTATAAAATTTCACCACCATATCGAGGATTTCGATATTTCGAGTATCGCAATATTGCCTCTCAAAGTTTCGATTCGCATTTGTTTCTTCACCGTTAGTGCATCCGCTCGGGCGGGATTCGCTCCGTTCAAACTGTTCCGTGTGTGCGTTGCTCTCGCGATTAATAACGTCTAAAAGTGAATTTTATGGACGAAAAACTGTTGGGAGTGGCTCGTAAATAATATATCGGACGTGGCGTATCATGAGTTGTGGACATTCTCAGACGGAAAGCGAGACTTGCAAGTGTACAATCGTCGTCGTTGCGCCGATATCGCGATTCCGATGATCCGTGTGTGCGTGCGCGTGTGTGTTCATTTCTGTGCGGCGATCAAGATTGCCTTCTCATATTTCACGTTATCTCTTGGCCGAAAATTAAGTCGTACGATCATCGTTTCACAGGTATGATAATTTTTATATAATTAATATTGCATCGATTTCATGTTTTGGAATTGGAATAATTTACTCCAGAAGATATGCAACTGTGAAATAAATAAATTTGTAACTTTTATTTTGTAGTTTGCTATTCTCGAACGTTTAGATATTCTGAGAATCACAATTCTTGAATAGATTTTGAATCGTTATCTGTTATTATTATCGTCGAACGACAAATCGAACATTGCATACAAATATATATACAGGCGTCGATCTTTTACACACACATACACATACTTTCGAATTTTCCAATAATGGACGCATTCAAGGCGGACGCATTGTATTGAGATATTCGTGCATTTTATTTTAATATTTTAAGAAGTAATCTCAGTATTTTTGCCGTTGAACAGGAAATAAATTAAATTACGTTAATTTTTTGCATATATTTGATGGATCTTAATAGATCACAAACAGAATTATCTTACAATTCCGCATATATATTCAATGATAAAATTGCCGATTTTTTTCAGAACCAATAATCATGATGCGTGAATGTCTAGATACGATGCGACTTGAAAATGTCTAATCCGGAAGTGAAAGGCATTGATGCCTTCCGTCTGTAAACTCACCATATGCTATTGTAATTGTATGCCACTATCGCAATTTCGATATTGGCAATATTTTTTTTACTTTTGCAAATGTCCAGAATGGATTAAAAATTCTCTTTGCGTGTTTCGCATTATTTTCTCGTCTAAATGTATTCAAATGCAATCACTATACGCGCATTTATCACCAGGTATGTGTGTATGTATCATCATCTGTAATTAATTACTCCGATATCATATTTTTTGAATTTTCTTATTGTTAAAAATAATATTTTCAAATTGCCGGTATATACGTGAAAATGGTGAAATTTAATTTAGATTATTATTATTTTGTATTATCGTGATATTAATCATCGATAGAGGGAGCAGCCTAAAAAAAAGAAAAGGCGACATCGCTATAGTATTTCGTTTCGTCTATGACTGTTACTAATATTGTACTTTACATTGCTTTCGTTGTAAATAGTCGTACGTTTTATATTCGTTCGTCGCACATAATTATCGTACGTTATAATTACATTAATTTCGAAAAATGAAGAGATCGCCATTAAATACTCCACATGGTAGTCGGACATACGGTGCAAGGCATACGCCGTATAATTGGAAGTTATACGAAAACGCGAACAATAGAGGTTATCAGTCCGTTAATAATAGTTATCAGCGTTTTTCTGTAAACAATGAGATACAGCCTAGCGGGGATAATTTTATTCCTCTAAACGTTAGCACGCCAGTGACACAACACGAAAAGCACAATACTAATCGGTATAGCCCTGCGAATGGACGCAATAGCGCCAGTCCAGGTAGCGGGTGGTATAATAACAGGAATAACTATCACGCTACTTCAAGATCAAATTGTAATAATCGGTATTCTACTTACAAGCATTCTGGCAATCAATTCCATGGACAAAAAAGAAAGGTGAGATTCTTGATAGATTATGAAGAGTTTTATCAAATGATGGAGCATGTTTCGTATAGTGCAATATACATACATATAGCACACATACACATACAATTAGTATATTAATAATTACTACATGTTATGTGAATCTTACTTTAGATTTATTTTTAGGATTATAAAGGAATGCGTAGGCAAGCAAACATATCAGCGTATATAGATATAAATTCCTTTTTGGAAGACCCTTGGGAAGATCTAGTCAAAAAGTTAAATAATTCAAAAGAAATAAGCAAAAGTGAAACATCTAAGAATGAATCTCTATGCAGTTTAAAATTGGCAGATAATGATCGTGTAGAAAAATCTGAAAGCGAATTTACGAGAGATATAAACTTGGATGATTCACGATGCAGTCAAGAGACTAAAAATGATCAGATTTGTGTAGATATAAGTTTGGAGACCGAGAATACAGATCTCAGTCAAATATCGAATAGTTCAATAAATTTGGAAACTGATGATATTTGCTCCAGTCAAGATTCACTAAATGAAAGTTCATGCAGTATTAATAGCAAGATTTGTGGAATCATAGAAGAGAAGGATAATACTCATTTAAATGCATTACTGATAGACACTGATCAGAAAAATATATAACAGTAAATGAAGAATAACATTTATATTGTGAAGAGAAATTATACTGGGTAAAAAAATACATGTAATAATTGTTGCTGTACAGATATTCATGAATTGTATATAGGTATTGTATATAAGTATAACATCATATAAAAAATTCAATGTACTAAAATTTTTTGAGATGCATTTTTTTAGAAACAGGTTAGAGTTGTGAAATTATATTTAAAATGTATGTGATGTACAACAGACTAACATTATCTTATAGATTATATATTTTCACAATTTGGCTGTGAAAAAAAGATGTATAAAAATTTATATTATAGACTTATATAGATATATGTGCAATTTTGTAGTACATGAGTCCACTAAGGATATAAGAACTTGAGAAAACAGTAAACACCAATTTCTGACTAGTAGAGACTGTGTTTCTTATTAAAGAATCTTGAGACAGAATTTAGCCACATTATAAAAGAGCATATGTGAGACTTAAAATTTTATTCAAACATGTAGAATCTCTGTTCACTTTTTAAATTCATCTTTTAAGCTATCAATTTTCAAAGTTTATTTAAAATATTAATTTTGACACTTGTGAACATAGTTAGTGAGCCAATATTTTTTACTTTTTGTATAAATATGTTACACGAATTTTTTTTATTCTTATTTAGCAAGCTTGTAAATATATCCAGTATCAATCTTATGATTGTTTTAATATTTCCAAAATTTTCAAATTTTCGTAAATTCTAGATTTATAAATAAACTAATTAACTTTATGTTGGATATATCTTGATATATCTTTTTATATGAATATTTTCAATTTATATATATATAAAATATATTATTTTCTCATTTAATATTAGAATATAACTAGTAAAGCTAGTAATTTATATATAGTTATTATATATATAAATTAGTAACATAAGAAAAGTCTATAGATCTCTCTCTCAATCTCTGATGTCTATTTACTTTGGAAACTCATATTATGTACATATAATTGCTGAAATACATTTATAGCATTTTCCGAAAACCAAAAGTAAACTTTTTTGAAAACATTTCAATTAAATATCAATCTATCAAATTTTTACTAATTAATTTTTAACAAATGTGATCTTTATCATTAACTTTTAGAGTTGCCATAGATTATTATTCAAGTGCATATATTGTTATACATATAACTTATTCTAGTATTCACACAAGTATGAGTACCTTCACATAATTTAAATTTACTTTATATCTTATAAAGTTACTATATATATTTACTACTTATAAAGAAAAAAATGTTTTGTGTAATAAATTTATGTGGTCTTTGGAGTAGTATTTCATTTTTTATATGCATAAAAAATGAGCGTTCATAAAATTGACATATATAAAATTTTTATTGTGAAATATGAAATGACGGAGCAGATTTTTGTCTCCATTTATTGTCAGATATATAATTATTATGTTTATATTTCTATCTTTTTTTATATTTATATTATATACTTATATCTATACATATGTGTATAGATAAATATGTAAAAACATAATTACACATAACAAAATTTATGTATTATGTATATTATGTCTTCATATATTACATATCTACATAAATAAATTAGTAAGTTAATCAAATGTAACTCAATGCAAAACTGCAAAATTTTGTAAGATTTTGTCTAGATTTTTAGGTTTAATTTTAAACCTAATTTGATTTTGTAATTAGCAATATGTATTATCGTATATAAACATAATACTATTATTATTATGTAGAAGCACTACTGTACTTATACATGGTGACTAATTACTTTATATTAGATATCAATTACTTTTAAATTATTTCACAATTGCAATGTATATCATTAGTGTTAAATAAGTAGCATATGACTAGCTTTAGATAAACAACATTATCTTTATTAGATAGTTGTTTTTGGTCTGTTATAGATAATAATGAGTAAAACTTATTTACACATTATATAATTGCTTTTAATGGACACATTATATAATTGCTTTTAATGGACACATATAATTATTTTTAATGGTTCTTTAGATTCCAAAATGAAAATGGGTTATGCAACAACTTACAAATATTTATTTTAAAAATATTAAAATTAATAGAAAATTAGTAATAGCTGCTTGAATAAATTTTATCATCACTATCAATGTAGAATTAACATTTATCATATACATATATACAGAATAAAGTTTACGTTATGAAAATACCTGCTGTATAAGAGCGAGAGAGAGAGAGAGAGAGAGAGAGAGAGAGAGAGAATAAACTTATCTAAAATATTTATCATCACTATAATTAACATATTAACATTTATCATATACATATATACAGAATAAAGTTTACGTTATGAAAATACCTGCTGTATAAGAGCGAGAGAGAGAGAGAGAGAGAGAGAGAGAGAGAATAAACTTATCTAAAATATTTTCAGGATTGAACAAACAATATAAGGAAAATATTAATTTTCTATTTATTTTTTGAACGTATTTGAAGAGAACTAATCATAAGGAGAACTGTTCGACAAATGTAATGTACAAATAACGATCTGGTACAAAAATTTGTATAAGAAATTTAAGCTTTTTTTCAAATTTATTTTGTAACTTATCATTTTAGACAGCCATCTCTCTACGAAATATGTAAATTAATTATCCAAATACTTAATCATAAATAAATGTAAACAATGTATACAAAATCGTGCATTAAACGTAAATACAAATAAAATAATGTCAATTTTATATTATAACACGGAAAAAGTATAAAGAAGAAAAATATCAAGAAAATAATAAATTAAATTAATATATATAAGTTAGAAATATTCATAATTGAAATCTGAGTATATTATATGTATCAATATTCACACGCACGGATACACACATACATATATATTTGATATTAATAAAATTCGGTTTATTTCATTTTTAGACAATAATGTTGATTGAGTTTCTCTTTAATCTATCAATGATTTGATTTCAATTATTGTTGACAGTTGATTAATATGTCTGCTAATTATTTACAGTATCTAAATTATTGCAATATTTGAAGCATTTACGCCAATCAAACGTCCAATCATACACACACACAATAGTGCAACTATTAATTAAAATAATGCAACTATTAAAATAAAATCATTATATTTTAAACTTATAAAAACATAAAAATATTAGATATTTCTTCATGCAACGCTAAAACATTATATAAATAGAAATTACAATACAGCAATATATATTAAAAATACAATACAATATTTAACGACATTTAAAAAATTAATTATATTTAGGAAAAGATGAACACATAGCGCTATATTTCTTTTGAAATTTAAAATCTTTTTTGAAAACTGATTTTTATTAACAAAAGCATGGAAACAACATATTAGTTTTAAAGATATAAATCATTTCGAAATGATGACTTGTGAAATAAATTTCAGGGATAAAAATAAATAACATAATATTATTTGCGCGCGCTCCCTTATTTGAAAAGATTTTTAATAAAAATTTAGTTTGAGAGAATACATATTACTAACAATAAGATATGTCCTGGAACGGTAAAGAGTTTAAAAAAATGAGGTAAATGATAAGTACTTTTGTAAGAAGTGTTCTTGCGCTAAGAAAAAATTCAGTTTAAAAGTTTAACATGAAATAATGCTATATATCTATTTTTTGTGTCAATTGTAAAAAAATATCTTTATGAATTTCTATTGTGTAATAATTCTCTTCCGCTCTGGATTCGATTAGAAATATTTTAGCAGAATTATTTAGAGTAGCGCTGAAGAAATAGCGCTGATGTGAATGTGTCTGGTGCAATCGATGTGTCATTCGAACTAGACGGTGGCAGCATTAAGAGTGCATTACTGTTATGAGACTTAAGTAGATTACTTTTATCTTCTATGCTATAAGCCTTTGCAAATAAATCTGCTTCTGTTTTGTCCCATTGTAAATGTGTCCACGTATAAGTAGGACGCGAATGCTTCTTGTGTTTATTAATTACCTGCAATTATAGCAACATTATAACAATGTATACCATGTGTCCTTTTTCTCTTTTCGAATAGTCAAACCAAAGGCAATCTTACGCAAGCACTTATGATGGGCGCTTCCAAATCATTGTGGCACATCTGGTTCAAAAGGGGTAAAAGAAATAAATGTGCGCTAATGAGAACTTTTGCCGGATTTCCCGAAAAACATAAGAGATGCTTCTTTCTCTCGTACAACATGCATGTTGCATATGTTGTTGATTTTCCGGGTTTTACATTCACGCTATCTGTGGAATAGCATATAACAACTTCAAGAAACGTGTTTTTTAATGTATTAATACTGATAATTAAAACAAATACCAAAACATATAGTAGCCTTAAAAAGTTCCTGTAAAATGAGATTCAACCGATTTCTTCCATCCGTAGAACCAGTTGTCACAAGTATATTCACTTTTTTTAAAGCTTCCTGGATTTTATCTGATATTATCGTTTGTATGCTAGAAAAATATTTACTTTATTAAGAGAGTTGTTACACTTTATTATTAAATTATATAATTATATGATATAATAGAATAATGCAAATATTCGTAAATTAGGGGAAATATTATAATACAGAATATGTATTAAGAGTTATAATAAATTGCAATAATACTCACTCATCATTTACAATTCCAAAATCTAAAGCATCGAAACCTTCCTGTTTTAATAATGTGATTAGAGCTAGTCTGTTGCCATCATAGTTGTGTTTTGATCTTAAAATCTCCCCAGGTTCTTCTAACTCATTTCCAATGGACAATATACCTACAGACTGTTGTTTAATGACTACAATTTCATTGACACCACAAGATGTCAAAAGTCCTATTTCAGCTAATCCAATACGTGTGTATTTCTCCAAAATTTGTTCTCCCATCTTTATCTCGTAACCAATAGGTCTTCAGAAATACGTAAACAAATAATTAGACGAATAAATCTATCTAGTGATAAACTATATTTTAAAATATATAAAAATATGTTAAATACTCTGTACCTAATATTTTCTCCTACTTTTGGCTGAAATATTATTTCGATTTCGTCGTGGGTATCTTCTTTTGAATTGTTATTAGAAGATATAGCTCTAAGCACTACAATCAAACAAATTAATAATTAATAATAATTTTTTATCGTAATTTTATCGATATTGTTAATATTATTATTATCACATTTTATATCTTCCATTTTTACAACTGCTGTTGCTCCTGCAATTAAATAGAAAAAAATTGTTAATTTTCTATCGTAAGCAGATAGGTATAATTGACAATTATAATTGGGAATTACCATTGGGAATAGGTGTTCCAAGTTTTACCGATACACATATGTCAGATGTCAATGAAAACTGAAACAGTTTTACAGCTCTAGTTTATGATATATGTGTGTAAAGCATTTATTATCACTTACTATAGTTTTTGCTTCTACTATCTTCTTCCGTTTTTTTCCATCTGCTATTATTGCGTATCCATATTTGGCAGAAGTTCTAAATGAAGGTACATTACATGTGGTATATATATCTTTTAATAATATTCTGCCATAAGTATCACGCACACTCATACGTTCAAACTCTATTTTCTCATTGCTTTGCATTATTGTATCACGTATTATCTTTTGTGCATCTGTTACCTAAAATACGTCAGATTTTCTGCTATAATTAATTGTATTTTTTATATCTTTCTGTATAAAAAAATTTAATTATATTTTAATTATATAATCCCTACTAGACCACCACCAGCAGCAGCTCGTGACACCAACATTTCCAAATTGTAGGCTAGTGGGCAATAACAACGTTAGGACGACATCTCTATTTATTAAATCCTGAAAATATAAATTCGACATATATATATATATGTGTGTGTGTGTGTGTGTGTGTGTTTTTTCATAAACTACGAAGAAACCATACCTGTTACGCACATGTGGGTAATATCTCTTAGTTAGTTTCAGAGAAGGATGTAATCGTTTGATGTCTAGGACCACCAGCAGCAGCAGTTCCAAATTGTAGGCCAGTGGGCAATAACTTAACGTTACCACGACGACATCTCTATTTAATAAAGTCTGAAAATATAAATCCAATTTCATTATATATATATATATATATATATATATATATATATATAATCTCATAAAACTACTACTTTATTATTTTTATGACAAAAAACATTTTGCTGTACTTCTATTGAAGATTTAATGTTAACTGTTTTTTCCTGTATTAATTGTACTGTTTGCTGTATCAGTTCTTCATATTTTTCTAAACATATTGTGGCGACTTCTGGTGAGCCATATATATTAAGGATAAGCGTTTTATTTCGTATTCCACATACAGCTCTAAAAATTATATACTTATTACTTATACGTCTATACATATATTTATGATACTTTGTAATTTCAAAAACTATAAAATTAATGAAAGCAAAACTTTACCGTTTAAATATACGTTTTATTTTTAGTTCTAATTTTGATATAAACGTTGCGATGTTTGTGGAAACATTTTTATTAATAGTTTTTTGATTCACATCAAAAATAACGGTAGAATCAATGTCACTAGTGACGATAATAACATCAACTTCATTTTTATCGCATGAAGAAATTAAATATTTCTGTATTATATAAATATAATAAATTGTAATATAACAATACAATAATACAAAAAAGCATTTAAAATATTTATAATTACCATTAATTTATCTTTACTATTTGGCAGAGATATGATATCATTTTCTGTTTTTATTTGAAGTTTAATTTTCTTTTTTGGAGAGATATGGTCTTCTAAATCACATACTGTATAATTAATTATAATAGAATTATTATAATATACCAAAAGAAAGAGAAAGAGAGAGAGAGAGAGAGAGAGAGAGAGAGAGAACACACATTGGTATAAGCAATATATATGATAAAACTCTCTCTAAATGCTATATATTTAGATTATTAATAGTTCAAAAAACACGTATATAAAAAATATAATTACATATTCCCAACGTGCACGTGATTATGATAGTTCTTGAATTTTTTATTAAAGTAAATTTTATTAATATCTATATTTTTAAAATATACGATATATATATTCCGTAATAAAAATATATGTCACGGTACATACCAACTACAATGCGAAATGTAAAAGTCATTTCTCCTTCTTTTAACATCTTATCGCGTTCCAATATGACAGTCGCGCTGCAGGATTTTTACTGTTCTATTCCAATTGTATATGTTTGGTTTCAAACATCCGCCGCCTGAGTTTCTGAGTTTATTTTGCTTAGTCTTTAAAGTAGTCAACAGAAGTCGTAACGTACCGATCAGATGTTATTTATTTATCTTTTTTTTTAAATTTTCTCAATATCAAAATTGTTTCGAATGTGTATCGTGCAGATTATTCCGCCTCATGATTCTTATAACTAATTCTGTCGAGAGCAAATTTGGCAAAGTATTTGTTATAAGCTTTGTTAGTAAAAATATGACAAATATAGTACAAAATCGTATCGAATTATATCGATACATTTATATTAGAAATCGAGTAGAATCTGTTAATCAATGTTCTTACAGAATTTAAAAGCAGTAGAAATATGGGGGAGAAAGCGTAAATAGTAAAATATCATAAACATGATAAATTGATGCAAGATGTTGGACATTCATAATGAAAATTTCTTATAGAAACATGAATAAATATGTTCGATTATATTATTTTATACGATTTGATATGTGCATATATATGTGCACACAATATAGTGATTATTACACCGAAAAAAAAAAATTGTTAACTTGATTAAATCCGTTCAACTAATTACTATTTTTTAAATTGAAATATTTAAGTATTTAAGTATAAAATTTGATCAATTCACTCTCTGATGCAAGCAGTAGCATTATTATTTTTAAGTTGAATCTCTCTTCATGGATCATTACTTTTAATTTCAATCGTTGTTGATGGCTAATTGTGTCTAATAATTATTAACACGTACAGTATATTAAAATGCAACTATTAGTTAAAATAATGCATTTTATTAAAACAAAATTTTTATTTGTCTTTATTTTTAACTTATAGAATCATTACAATAATATCAAATATCAATATCGCAACAATACGTAAACGCTAAAATTATCGCTATAATATTGCATATTTCGGAAAGTGAGCGAAAAAAAATTTTTTTTTTTTTTCTGTGAAATTTTGTGTTTTTTCTGAAAGCTAATTTTCGTTAGCAAAAATATAAAAATACACATAATAGTTTTTAAAGTATAAATTATTTTAAAGTAATAGTATTCTTTCGCACAAATTAAAAATTTTGGAAATAAAATAAATAATATATAATATTACTTGCGTGATTTTTTTCTATATTTCAAATAGTCGCTCTCTCTTTAATAGAATGTTGATTTGAATATAATATGTGAAACTATAAAATTTGAAAAGTTGGAACAAATGATAAATATCTACAATATATTTTCGCTAATAGAGAATTTACTTTAAGTTTTATATGAAATAATGCTATATATATACATATTCAATCTTTTTTTGTGAAATATCTAATGTGTATGAGCTTTTTATAATAATAATAATAATTCTATTCAAACTTTAAAAAATATATATTCCATTATGTAAAAATATACGCAAACTCTCGCTGGTGAATTTGATGAAAAATATTTTGGCAGAATTATCTTGAGCCAACAAATATCGTTGTTATAAATGCGTCAGGTAATAATTTTGACGCTTCCACTGTACTAGGTGGCAATCTTAAAAGTGCATTAGCGTTATGATTATAATGATTTGATATATCGTAAATCCATGGGTACGTATCCTCCTTGTTCCATTTTAAAGACGTCCAAACATATTTAGGGCGCGAATACAAATTGGGTGCTAATCGTATCTACAACATTATAACAATATCGTAGCAATATACATATATTGTATATCTCATTTCGAAATGTATGAAGAATATCTTACGCGAGATACCACTAAGGGCCACTCCTTGTGAAAGCAGCGTAATTCGTTCAGAAGAGGTAAAAGAAATAAATGTGCAGCAATGGGAACGATTGCCGGGTTTTTCGATAAACATAAAAAATGTTTCATTGTGGATTTAAATGTGCATGTTGCATATGTTGTTGATTTTCCTGGTTTCATATATACAGCACCTGAAAGAGAGTATAAAATATTCTAAAAAAATATGTCTTTTAATACATTAATGTGATCTGATGATTAATAAAAAGAAAAAAGAATACCAAAATGTATAATGGCATTAAAGTATCCTCGTAAAATGGGCTTCAATAAATCTTTATCTTTCGCAGCACCTATTATCACAATTACATTCACTTTTTGTACAATTTCTTCGATTTTGGATATTATGCTTATCATGCTGCGAAAATATTTATTTTACTAAATATTGATCATTAAAATATATAATAGAATAATGAAAATATTCATTATTCGTAAAGATAAAGGTTATAATATCTTTTGTATTATAGCGTGTACATTACACATTAAAATAAATATTAATATACTCACTCATCATTCGTAATTCCAAAATTCAAAGTATCGAAACCTTCCCGTTTTAATAATGTGATTAGAATTAATTTGTTGCTATCATAGATGTGTTCTGGTCCTAAAATCTTGCCAGGTTCTTCTAACTCATCTCCAATGGACAATATACCTACAGACTGATGTTTAACGACTGCAACTTTATCGATACCACAACATGTTAACATTCCTATTTCCGCTGGCCCAATACGTGTGTGTTTATTCAAAATTTGTTCTTCTATCTTTATCTCGCAACCAATAGCTCTTCAGAAACACGTAAAGAAATAATTAGACGAATAAATCTATATGGTGTGTGACAAAATGTATTTAAAAAATATATTAAAATGTAAAAGCTTTGTACTTAATATTTTCTTCTTCTTTTGGTTGAATTATTATCTCGATTTCTTCTTCCTCACAATGTTCCTTATTATCAGTATTATTATCATCACATTCTTTTATTACTTTTTTATTTACTTTTTTTGTATTCTTAATTTCTATAACTGCTGTTGCTCCTATAACCGAATAAAGTAACAATAATCAATAATTTTTTTTTTGTCATAGACAGATAAGTGTGTGATTAACATTTATAATGTTTACCATCGGGAATAGGAGCTCCAGTGTTTACTCTTATACATGTGCCAGGTTCTAAGGACTGAAACAATTTTATTTTATAGCCCTAGTTTGTGATATATGTATAACATTTATTATCACTTACTGTAATTCCTGCTTTTAGTATCTTCTTTGTGTTTTTTCCATCATTTGTTATTATTGCGAACCCACGTTTAGCAGAAACTCTAAATGATGGCACGTTACATTTGGAATGTATGTTTTCGAATAACATTTTGCCATATGCATCACATACACTCACATATTCAGACTCTGTTGTCTTGTAATGTTTAGATACTATACTACCTATCATATGTATTGCTTCTGACACAGTAAATATAGGAGATAAGGTTTTCTTATATTCTTTTGCTATCATCTTGATTTTTTTCTGTAAGAAGATTTTTTAAAATTTCATTTTATATAAAATCTCTCTCTTATGAAATCTTTATTTAATTGTTCTCAATGTAGGATATACTTTACCAGGGACGAGTTAAGCATTTTGAATGCAGCAGCTCTATTATTATTAGTTTCGTCGATCTGCACTATCTTTTGTACAATTTGCAATATTTTTTTTTCATTTGTTTTTAAAAATATTGTTGCCATTAAACATACGCCAAACATATTGAGGATAAGTGTCTTATTTCGTAGTCCACATACAGCTCTGAAAACATATTATGTATTTTTAAACGTTGTAATTTCACAAACTGTTGGATAAATAAAAATGAAATCTTACTCGGGAAACACGTCCTGCAATTTAGTTTCTAGCTCTAATATATCTGGTGTTATACGTTTATAAATAACCGCACTGATAACTGTTTTAGTTGCCATAGACACAATATCTTTCTCCATAAGTTTATTCTCACCAATGATGGCAATAATGTTTGCTTTATTTGCATCGCACGAAGACATTAAATGCATCTATATGTCATATCAATGTAAAAACTTATAATACCAACAGGACAAAGAAGTTTTCTTGTTATCTCGAAATATCTTTACAATTTATAATAATTACCTTTATTTGATATATATTACATGGCATATAATGAACATCAATTGTGTGTCCTCCTATATCAGATATGGTCTGTTCCATTATGTCAACATATTTTTCTAATTCATCCTTGTCACCTACTGTATTAACAATTATAATAGAATTATTAAAATATAGAAAAAAATAAGAATTATATGATGAAAGTCAGCTTTATACAAAGAGATTTACTACTATTAATCCAAGATACACATACATACATATAACGTGCAATTACATTTAATTTTCAAATATTTATATGACTGACGATGAGATATTTTCTTGGAATTTTGTATTAAAATAGATTTTTTCATAATTTTTTAAAAATGTATGTTATATATTCCGCAAAAAGATATACATTACATACCAGCTGTAATGAGAAATGTAAAACTCTTTTTAACTTCCGTTGACATCTTGTTGCGCCCTTATATGAAAGTTATGTTGCAAGATGTTTACTGTTCGTATGTTCGCTCGTATGTATGGTCTCAACTATTCCGTAGTCCTTGAAATTGTCAACAGAAACAACTTATCGATGAGAAATTGTTTATATTTTCTTCGAAGCATCTATTGATGATATGGACTGTAATCAATAATGTCAATTTTGTTTTGAATATATAGTGTGTGGTAGACTTCTCGCTGCTTGTTTTGATAATTCTGTCGAAAGTATATTTTATGCAAAACTTTCTGCTACAAGTTTTTGGTAACAAAAACGCGGCAAATATGATTCAAAATATGTCGTATTAGATTATGTCGATAGAACTACAACAGAAATCGAAAGTATATTGATCTCTTTAATCTTGACTGTGTATATACTTTATTAATAAAGTATTGCAACAAATTGATTGCAGAAATTGAGTAGATTCGCTAAATACTATTTTATAATCATTTAAACAATTTTAAATAATTTGATATAATAAAATAATCAAAATCTATAGATAAAATAAACAAATCTAAAGTTACATTTATTTAAAGTTATATTTTTTCTTAATCTTTAATTAAATCAACTTGGTATAGGCATGTGATAGACTTTATTCAATAAAAAGATTAGTTCCCATTTGGGTTATCTACAAGAAAGATCGGATCTATAAAGTTTTTAATGTAAATAAAATGTTTCCACTCTCTCTGTTACCATATCGTGCCTTTCATCCTCTTATGTGATCAATGTTAAAATCGCGCATGCACACTCATACTTTTAATTACAACAGTTTGAAAAAATATATTTTAATCCTTAACCAGCACATAATGGATTCTTAAGCGAATAATTCTAGAAGGGAGTTATCTAGTTACAGTAACAGCGATAACCTGCAGATACGTTACGTTAATTAGATTAACGTAAATTGGAGATATTTATTTATACATATACGTGCTACTCTCTATTTTTTTTAATTTAAAAATATATTTAGTTTCTAAAATTTTTAATTATTATTTATCTCATATCAGGGATGTCGTAAAAAATCTAATTGATTAAATATACATAATCAATGATTAACTTCTTATTTTTTCTTTATTTATTGCGAATTCATTATAAGATTAATATAAATAAAGTATTTTGATCTATAAAAGTATTTTACTTTTCTAATAACTACTTTATACAAAAACTAAATCTCATTGAATTGATTTTTTCTAGAATCCCAGTGCTGAGATTCGAAGGTTAATTCTGCGAATCCATGAATTCATCATATCAGATATATGATTTTACTATACTGATTAAGGATTAATAATCGGGTCTAAGTCGTTTCTGTTCTTTTTTTCAATTATAACGGAGCGTGCAATACGATATGTTCCGAGAGTGAATCGAAAATGTACGTATCGTATATAGAGTATATGTCCCATATATCGTACATCTATTATTCTACCAAAAGCTTTAAGCTATCTCCTAAAGTTACATTCGATAAATCACAGGTTTAGAATTTATAACGTCATGAATTGACAAATTTTAACTCTTTGTAATTCCGCGATTTATTACACCGGAGGTTCTGTTTTTTCACCTCAATTGTAAATAAGATGGTAAATATTCTCGTTGTAGTATTCCGAATATAGATATTTATCCAAATATACATCGAATTAGATAAATGCGAAATTAGTTATGCGTGTTCTCCGCCATATCTTTATTTCGCACATCAAGGAAAGGAAAAGCCATCGTTGTTGCGTGGATGATCATAGTGATCGTCGTTGATCACATTCTGTTATATGTGATAAGGTCTTTAGGCATATAGACGTATCGATGATAAAGGGTGCGTATGTATACATAAAAATCTGGTAATTAAGAATCACGAGAAAGTATGATTATTATGTGACTTTATTAGGAAAACAGCTTTATATATAAATCTGCTAAAAATAATATTTATTTTCCTGTAAGGAACATAAGATTTCTTAATTGGATTCATCATACACGATATAATTTTATTATTTTGAATATTTTTATCTTTTTGATCTGAAAACAGTCACTGTGTATTGATGGTGTTATAACTCATATACTAAACTTATTCGATTATGGTTAGATTGTAAGGTCCATTACATAATGACTAGATTACCTAGAGTGTCTTATCATTATTCACTTGGAGTTTTCAGTTATATGGTATTAGATAGGATTTATATCCAAGTAAATATACAGAGCTTCTTATTCATTCGCACCCTCGATCGATCGAACTTGATATACCATTGATCAAAATTTAGATCAATATGATCAGAATTCTAATCTCTACATACAAACGCACACACGCACACACACATACATATATATGTATATATATATAATATAATATATGTATGTATATACATGCAAGTTATAATAATAATAGACGGATATTTTTTCTTTGTAAAATTGCTTAATTCGGGTCTTTCTAAGACTGCCCGTTTTGTAAGAGAATATGGATTTTTTTTAATTATTTGGTCTCTTTGTTTAAAGCTATAATTATCAATGTCTGGAGGTAATTGAAATCTTTCAGTTTTTTTACACGGTTGAATGCATATATATGGTAGCTCATGCTTTGATCCATTTTATATCGCAATCTATTTATTTATTGCTAATAATATATTATAAAAATTTTTTATCCAATGTTTTATTGAGTAATAATTTATATTTTGTTGTATCAAATTGTTTCCAGAGACTCTATATATGCTATACTAGCCATTAACATATATTTAACGGTAGACTCTCTGTCATTTCATTATTCAACGCAAATATCTTTTATATGGATTTAATGAAGAAAAAGAAAGTTTATAGTATCCAAAACCATTAATATTTCAATTACTTATACTTAATTTTATGTTATTTAATTAGATATTATATCACTGCTAATAAACATTTAATATATATTATATAAAAATTATCTTAAGATATTTTGAAGAGAAAGCATTGAGCGAAACATGATTTTGAGTTGATTTAAATAATACATGTTACTAACTATTGCAAAGTTTTTGTATTTATTGTAAAAATTTTCAGATTAGTATAGTAACTTTCATTTTGGAATAAAGAGAGTTTCTAATAAATTAATATCATTATATTTTCATATTAAACAAATTATAAGTTTTATGTATGTGTTTATTTTTTTAAATTAATTAAAATAAATTATATATATAT